CTAAAAAAATTTAATTTATAAGGCCATAATTTATAATTTATATTTTTTATTTAATATATAATTTTAAATTAACGACAATAAAAAATAATTTTATTTAATATATAAATTAAATTTTCAACAACACTAAAAAAATTTAATTTATAAGGCCATAATTTATAATTTATTATTTTTAAATAAATTTAATTTATAATTTATAATTTTTATTTAATATATAATTTTAAATTAACAACACTAAAAAAATAATTTTAGAGAAATATGTAAATTTAATTTTTTAACAACACTAAAAAAAATTAATTTATAAGGCCATAATTTTTAATTTATTATTTTTAATTAAATTTAAGTTATAATTTATAATTTAATTTTTTTATTTAATATATAATTTTAAATTAACAACACTAAAAAATAATTTATAAATGTTCAAAAGACTATTTTACCCTTTCTAATTGTTTACTAAGTAATAGCATGGAGGGTAAAATAGACATTTTACCAAATAATCTCATGGGATACCAATCCCATGGTTTCTATCCCACACCCCCCCCATGGGATAGAATAGTCCCATATTTGTCGGACTAATAGTCCGGGGGGACTATTAGTCCGAAGCAAAATTTTGCAAACAAACAATGGACTATTAGTCCGGTGGGACTAATAGTCCAATCCCACACCTTTATCCCTCAAAACAAACATGCTCTAACTCTCTTTAATTGTCTTTCATGTTTTCTATTTTCCTTTATTTTTTAATTATAAAAATTAATTTCATGACTTATGGATACAGATTTGAATTTCAAAGTCATCCTCCCTATAGATAAACATATAAAAACTGATAAATAATTAATTTCATGACTTTTGGATACAGATTTGAATTTCAAAGTTATCCTCCCTATAAATAAACATATAAAAACTAAGATACAGATAAAAATTAAATAATTAATTTCATAACTTATAGATAAATATTTGAATTTTAAAGTTTCTCCCCATAGATAAACATATAAAAATTTATAAAAACTAATTTCATGGTTTACAAATAAAGATAAAGATTAAATAATTTATTTAAAAAAATTAAAATAAATTTTAAAGTTTCTCCTCATAGATAAACATATAAAAAATTATAAAAACTAATTTCATGGTTTACAAATAAAGATAAAGATTAAATAATTTATTTAAGAAAATTAAAATAATAAAATTAAAAAAAGGCATTACATAGTTCCATCTCTGTCTCCACGTGTGTTATACCCATGGTTTTAAATAATAATATCGGAATATGTAATATATAATATCGATGATATGGTCATATATCGGCCGATATTTAAAATTAATAGACAATATTGATTAATATATCAACGAATAACGATATTGAAAAGTCAAAAATCTATTACGTAACAGCTAATACAATACGTCAGAGTGGATATTTAAAACCCTGGTTATACCGTATATGCGTGTTTGATGTCTCATATCTTCCAGTTTAAAAGTTGCTTTGTATTGCATTAGATCATGAGCTTCATTATAATATTATATATTAATAAAAAAAAATTTATAACTTATTATTAAAAAAAATTATTATATTAAAATAGAAAACAAACATCCTCAACAGAGAGGTCCCTATGGAGAACCAAACCAGTGTTCCTGTAGCCCCTCTCAACCTTGAGAAGACGACTGAAGAGGAAGATCACTTGATCCGCAGCACCAAAAAAATAAAAAGCTCTGACTTTGTCAACGAGACAAACATGGACTGTGAAGTGTCTAAAGAGGGTCTCCCTCCCCATGGATCTGCTGACCTGGGATCTATTACCCTTCCGCCTCCCAAATCCTTCAAGGATGCACTGAACCAGTCCAGACGAGGTGACTATATTTTTGATAATCGACTCGAAATCCTCTCCTCTGATGAAGAGGACACTGACACTGATGGTCAACAAGAAATCCAACACTCCTACTCCGACCAGTTGGGTGTCCCTAAAGTATCCTTACCTAAGAAACTGTTGGACAAAATTCAACAACCGTGGAGAAATGCTTTGATTATCAGACTTCTGGGTAAGGCCATTGGGTATAAAATGCTCTGTAACCGTGTAAAGAATATTTGGGGTTTGCAGGGTGAATTTAATGCTATCGATTTGGGGAACAATTACTTTCTTTTTAAATTTTCTGACCAAGCAGACTGGACTCATGTGTTCACAGGTGGACCATGGGTGATCATGGATCATTATTTAAAAGTGCGAAGATGGGAATCGAATTTCAGACCATCGGGAAGCCTTTCAAACCACAATCGCTGTTTGGGTTCAGTTTTCAAAACTTCTGATTGAATATTATCAGGAAAAAGTCCTCTTTGCTATCGCCAAAGCTATAGGAAAGCCACTGAAGATCGACTGGACTACGGCCATGGCGACGAGGGGTAAATTCGCTCGTGTCTGTATAGAAATGGATCTCAGTCAACCACTGCAACCAAAATTTATTTTGGAAGATCGATATTACAACATCGAATATGAATCTCTCCATTCTTGTTGCTTTCTTTGTGGTAGAATAGATCACAGAAAAGAGGCTTGCCGTTTTAGACATACCATCATCCAACCGGCGGCGAATAATATAGCCGTTTCCGGTGATGGTACCGCTGACAAACCCATGACAGAAGCCAACAGCCATTTACAATTTGGGACAGGAGAAACGGATCCATTTGGCCCATGGATGCTTGCCAAGAAAAAGGGTAGAAGACCAATCCAGCCCAAGCGGGCCCCCAACATGTCTGGCCCAGTTTCTAAGGACAACAAATTCAAAGCCTTGGAGGAGGACCCAGTTAATTCTGAGACTTCCCAAAGGGGCAGGGAAACTAACAGATCGGGTTCTTCGAAAGAGCAAAGCTAGCCCATTAAGGTGCCAAGCCCAACCCAACCCAATGACCCTAAAGGCAAAGAGAAGGTAGGGTTCAACCCCTCCCAACCAATGGATTCCACTGCACACTTTCTACATCACACTTCACCGCAAAATCTTGAAGTCAGTACACCATATCTTCCTATCGAAGCCAGGGCAAATCCCCCTCACTGTGATCAAGCTTTGGTCTCTTCATCCTCTGCAAACACACTATCCATTCCGAGTCCATCTGACACCCCCTTTCCAAGGTCTATAGATCTAGCTATGGTCGAAGCTATACCCTCCCCAACCCCCTCTGTTACCCCATTCACAACTCACACCCTACTTCACAACCCGTCGGAGCTTCAAGAAAAAGCTAGTGACCCACCTGATCCGGAAGAAGCTCAACATGGACCAGGAGCCGACTGAACAGATGACCGAGGTGGAAGACCACCAGAATCAGACCAGTGCAGTGGCCCTGTTATTAGGACCAGAGACAGAAGTTGCTCACCTAGTCGCTTTCGCTTGGTGGATAGAACAGATTCGCATGACAATCGTGCTAAGTTGGGAGGGGCTCAACCCACAACCAGTCCACTCGATTCAGATGGCCTCAATGAGGTCAGAAGTAGACGATCGGCGGCGGATTCGCAGCATCGTTAAAGATCTGGTGTCTGACTCCCCTCTAACTTACCCATCTATGGATTTGCTATGTCTTTTATTCTGGAATTGTCAGGGAGCTGGCAACAACAATTTCAAGCGCAACCTCAATGACATTATTAGAACCCACAAGCCTGAAATTCTAGTTCTGTTGGAAACTAAGGTTCCTTTCAGTAAAATGGGCAATTTCTTCAATCGATTGGGCTTCACAGCCTCAACTATTGTTGACCCTGTTGGTCGTGTGGAGGGGATATGGATTGTATGGGATACAAGCCAAGTTACTGTGCGTGCATCCTCTGCCACTTCTCAAGCCATCCATGCGACTATCCATAAAGCTGACTATGATGAATGGGTCTTAGCTGCTGTGTATGCTAGCCCTTCTCCTGTTATGAGAGACCAGCTCTGGGATAATCTAGAAGATGTGGCTGGCACTATGGGGAAGCCTTGGTTAGTCGCAGGGGACTTCAATGATTTTGCTACTCAGGGAGAAAGAAGGAGCTTCACCTCCAGAAATTCTACTGTCCGAAATCAGAAATTCCTAGACAGAGTCAACAATTGCAACTTAATGGATCTGGGGAGTTCTGGTCCTAGTATGACATGGACTAATAACCGAAAAGGGCTTGCCAACACAATGGAACGCCTAGATAGGGCTATGTGCAACTCGGAATGGAGAACCATGTTCCCAGAGGCCACTGTCCGAATCCTCCCCAGAACATACTCAGACCATTCCCCCCTTCTGGTTTACACTCAAGGTATGCATCAACTCAACCCCCTTAATAGGCCTTTTCGATTTGAAGCTGCCTGGATAACACACCCAGGTCTCATTGATGTTATTAATTCTTCATGGACTAGTATGAACCATAACCTCATTGATTCCACTACTGTCTTTGCCTGTAAAGTTAAAGAATGGAACAGAGAGGTCTTTGGTAATATTTTTAAAAAGAAAAGACACCTTTTGGCCCGTATTGAAGGCATCCAAAAATGTTTAGCTAACAATTTTTCTCATAGTCTCCTTAGTCTTGAGAAAGAACTCGTTATTCAATACAATTCTACTCTGTATCAAGAAGAAATTCTGTGGTTCCAGAAAGCTAGATCTAAACACATTCTGCTAGGGGACAGAAATACTAGGTATTTTCATATCTCCACTATTGCTAAGCGAAGAAAAAATAAAATTAATGCTCTTAAGGATCAATCTGGTAACTGGTTTACTGATTCTGTTGGTATTAAAGGTATAATTCTTGATTATTTTCAGAATCTATTTAGTTATAGCCCTATAATTCATCTGGATCATTGGAATAATATTTCTCATAATCATTTCACTCCTGAAGACAATGCTAGATTAACTCAACCCGTGTCTAACTCTGAGATCTTGAGAGCTGTTAAAGATATAGGTGCCTTTAAAGCCCCTCGCAAAGATGGCATTCAAGCCATTTTCTATCACAAATATTGGCATCTTGTGGCTCAATCTGTGTGTGACTTTGTGAATAATTGTTTCCTTTCTAAACAGATCCCTACTATCATTAATGAGACTCTTATTGTGCTTATTCCTAAAGTTAACAATCCCGAGTTCATTAGACAATTCAGACCCATTAGTTTATGTAATGTCTCTTATAAAATCATTACAAAAATTATTGTGGGTAGAATCTGACCTCTTCTTGATAATCTGGTTAGTCCCAACCAAAGTAGCTTTATCCCTGGTAGGAGTACCACTGATAATATTATCATCACTCAGGAAATCTTGCATTCCTTAAGACATAAGAAAGGTAAAACAGGTGGTATGATCTTCAAGATTGATTTAGAAAAAGCTTATGATCGTTTGTCTTGGGATTTCATCAAATATACCTTAATTGATTTCAAATTGAATGATTCCTGGATTGAGTTAATCATGAGCTGTGTCTCTAACAAGCATTCTTCTATCCTTTGGAATGGTGAACTTATTGAGGGCATTCATAATGGGAGAGGGCTTCGTCAGGGTAGCCCCCTTTCTCCTTACCTTTTTATGCTCTGTATGGAGAGATTATCCAATATGATCAACACTAAAGTGAGAGAAGGCTCTTGGAAAGGCATTAAGGCGTCTAAAGCCAGCCCTCCATTATCCCATCTGTTTTTGCGGACGACCTCATCCTTTTTGCCCAAGCAGACCACATGAACTGTGATACAATTTTTAAGGTTCTTTCTGAATTTTGTGCAGTTTCTGGTCAAACTATTAATCATGCCAAGTCTAAGCTCTTTGTCTCTCCCAATATCCATCGAAATTTTGCTAAGTCCCTTAGCATCCATAGTGATATTTCCCTAATGCAGGATCTGGGCAAATACCTTGGTTCCCTCTTACTTCATAAGAGAGTCACTAAGGCCACTTTCAGTGAAATTCTGGAGAAGATGAAAACCAAATTGGTAGGTTAGAAAACCCAAACTCTTAACTTAGCAGGCAGAGCCACCCTTGTTCAAGCTGTCACATCTGTCATCCCTTCCTACACCATGCAAACTATGGAACTTCCTAGACACACCTGTGATGAGATTGATAAGCTCAATAGAAAATTTCTTTGGGGGGACACTGAAACTCATAAAAAAGTCCATCTAGTTAACTGGGAAAGTGTTTGCAGCAGTAAATCTGAGGGTGGTTTAGGTATTAGAAGGGGTCGGGATCATAACGCTGTTCTTCTTACTAAACTGGGATGGGAATTTTTGAGTGATAGATCAAAACTTTGGTGCCAAATACTTCACTCCAAATATTTTCACCATCACAACTTCTTTAGTTGGCCACAGAATTCTCAAGCTTCCCACATTTGGAGAGGCATTTGCAAAACCAGGGAAACTCTTAGATGTGGGGTTAAATGGGTGGTTGGTAATGGTGAAACTATTTCCCTTTGGAATGACTGGTGGTATGGTTCTAAACCCTAAGCCCTAACAAATAACAACTACCCAACCAATGACTTTAATAAAGTTAAGCTAATCTTGGATGAGGATGGTAATTGGAACATGGATAGCCTTGCAACTCTTGTTACTCCTTATGATCTCTCTGAAATTGTTAGAATTTACAAGCCCAGTTTTGTAACATTTCCTGATACTCCTTCTTGGAGTGGATCTAATCGTGGTAAATTCTCTACTAACTCTGCTTTTCAGCTTATTACTAATCCTGTTGTGGATGGCAGGGATTGGCTTTGGATCTGGAAACTCAAACTCCCTCATAAATTGAAAATTTTCCTTTGGCTTATCCTAAAAGGCAGATTGCTAACCAATCACATGCGCCTTGTGAGAAATTTGTCCTCTTCAAATTTGTGTCCTGGATGTGGACACTTTGGTGAAGACATGTTGCACCTTCTTAGAGACTGTGCTCACTCTAAGGCACTCTGGATTCACATTCAAAATCAATCTTGGTGGGAGGAAGAAGCAACACTGCCCTTGTTTGATTGGGTGTCCTTTAACTCAAAGAGCAAAATAGAAATGGCTGGCACAAAATGGTTTTTGATATTTGTTGTTACACTCTGGCAGATCTGGAATGTAACAACCCACATTTTTGGCTTAGTCATGTTTGCATGCATTTATATGTTTTTCCATGTTAAGATTGCTGTAACAACCCATATTCATGTTGTGGTCATGTTCATGTCCATTCGTATAGCCTTGTCTTGTTAAGTTTGCATTCATGAATCTGATCTTGTTTGCGTATATGTGATTTGTCTAAGTGTTGTGTGCATGCTCTGTTCCTTCCTTGGTGCCTCAAGCCTAGGTTATGTTAAGCCTAGATCATTCCAAGCCGAGGTCATCCTCAGTCTAGAAGTATCTTGGAACCCCTTTGTTTGACCTCCACCTTCGTCCTGGCATATTGGCCGAGATGTCATTATCTAGGCCGATGTGTGAATCACCAAGGCCGACATGTGTATCATCTAAGCCGAGATGTTACCTTTGCACCTGAGTGATCTTGTCCTGGAGTGGTATGACCTAGACCAAGGTGTGGCACATCTAGGCCAAGGTGTGGCACATCTTAGTCAAGCGTTGTCCTTCCTAGCCGAGGTCATTGTTACCTTAGTTGCCGAAGTCTTGTTATTAGCCGATGTCACCACTTGCCGGAGTGCCTTACCGAGTAGCTTGTTAGATACGCTTTGTCATAGCCTTGTCTTGTCAATCTATCACCTTTTCGAAGAGAACCAATCGGCCGCTGCCACGTGTCAGAGTTGAGAGTTAAGTTAGCCAGCAGAGAGAGAAACCCATCAATTGTTTCTATACTTGTTTTGAAGAGAGAGAGAGGCTCTAGAAGAGGAAGAAGAGTTCTTGAGAGAGAGTGGATTTCTAAGCTTGATTCCTTGAGATCAAACCGTTAGATCCGTGTTCTAAGGTTAGATTCTTAATCTGCTCTTGTTGTTCTTTATATTTATGTTATTGCATTGCATGATTGAATATGATTTGTAAGCTATGCATTGCTTTGAAGTTCGGTTTTAGAAAGAGAAAATGGCATTCATGTGTTCTTCAAGAAAAGTCATGTTTTGATCCGAAGGCTCATGCCTAGATCTGTGTTTTTGTGTTTGTTTTCACATGATTTTCAAGTATGGGTACCCAGGTCCATGTTTTCGAACTCATAGCATGAAATCCAAGATTTTTGTAATAAAGAAGTTATGATTTTAGCATTCATGTTCTTCATGATCTTCATGTTCGTGTTCCTCCTGTTCTTCATGGGTGGAAACCCAGATCTCCAGACTTCACTTCCCGAGGTGTAGTCACCGAGATCACTCTCACCTAGACCTTACACTTAGGCCAAGCATCGTATCTCACCTTGGCCTACCTTGCGTGATCATTTACACCTTCGGTTTGTTTTGTGTACACCTCGGCATGCAGCCGCACGCCGAAGCCTAGGTAGCCACACCTCGGCCAAGAGGTGTGGGACCTCGGCAAAGACCTGGTTGGTACCCAGCATGTCTTCCTGACATGTAAAACAGTGTTACCACTTAGAAGATGAGGACGGC